GATTTTTTGTTATAAAAAAAAATTGTGTTTATAGTCCTATAAGATGTGTAGCACGATGAACTTATTCGGGGGTTTTCTGAACGTGCAAACATATTCTCCTATTCGTGAATACGTTCGCTTGAACATGGTTCCCCATACCTGGGCGAATATATTATTTTTTATTGTTTGTTTTAATTTTTTTCCCCATATTTTTATTTTAAACTCGTGTTTGGCTAAGAATTTCAAGGTGTCTCCAAGGCAAAAGTTGTTTGTATTCTTATTTTGAATGATATATATTTTTTGATAAAGGTTTTATTGTTAAGTTCAAAAGTGATTTATAGTCCTATAAATTATTTTTTGTAGAGTTTGGCTTTTACCTAACTGCGGACACTGACTTATAATCCTATAAATGAGCATTCACCAAAACACGTTATTTTTTACATCTTTCAAGTTTGCCTCGTCATCCTTAAATCTTATCTTGTTTGAACTCTGTTTTTTTTCCAATCTACTGAGAATGACTTATAGTCCTATAAAAGCATTTTGCAAGGAAGGGTTTTCTTGCACGTTTTGAGGAACACTAGACTTTTCACCTGATTTTTTGCCTCCCTTATCGAAAAACGATTAAAAACGTTCTCTTTTTGTGTAAAAAATAACAGTTTTACTTTTACTTTTTCATTCTATAAGAAATGTTAGGTTTTCTCCGATTTTCACGGCGACTGTTTTTCCCGAAGGGCAATGAAGAGCGCCGGCGTACCGAGAATGGGACCGAGCGCCGAAACAATCGTCAACCCCCACAAACCCCTATCCCAAAGAAGGTTTATCTTGGAGGGCAATGGCGATCGACGGCGGATAAAAAACACAATTGTGCATGACTCTGTCGCCAACCCCTATAAACCCCTACAAAGGCAACTAAGAAGGCGATGACCGTTGCGCGGCGAAGTCCGCTGTGATCGGAACTTCGCGGGTGACAGAGTTGCAAGGAAGCGGGTTTCAGACCATAAAGAACGCGGAGAGAGTAGCAGGCTAGCGCCACGACCGCACGTTATCGCGACGATTGCTTTTCTTGGAGGGCAATAAAGATCAACGGCGCATTGAAAATGGAACCGGCCACTAACACAATCGCCAACCCCCATAAACCCCTATCCCGACGGATGATTTACTAAGAGGGCATTGACGGTCGACGACAGAATGAAAAAGGAACCGTCCACGCCACAGTTAAGGCAAATCAGAAGTCGGGTGCCGCAGAGCGTAAAACTCAGCCCTGATCAGAGCTTCGTGGGTGACAGAGCTGCAAGGAATTAAGATTCGCGCACAAACCGCATAGGACGGCGAGACAGAAGCATGGCAGCACCCGAACCACGATTATCGTGGCGAATGTCATCCGTGGAAGGTAATGAAGATCGACAGCAAACGGAAAAGGAAAACGATTCACGAACCCCTACCGTGACTGATGATTTACTTGTAGGGCAATGACGAACGGCGACAGAATGAAAAAGGAATCGTCCATGCCACAGTCGCCAACCCCCAGAAACCCCTGTAAATTCGAAAACCAAATGCGAGCGTCGTGCCGCGTCGAAGTCGGCTCTGATCCGAACTTCGAGGGTGACTGAGTTGCAAGGAAGTGGTTTCGCGCGCAAACCCCATAGCACGTCGAGGCAGAAGCATGGCAGCGCCCGAGCTGCAATTATCGCGGCGGCTGCTATTCGTGGCGGCAATGCAGCCCGACGGCGGACGGAAAAACAATCGACGACGGACATAATCGGCAACCCCACCAAACCCCTGTCCCGACGCTTGATTTCCGTGTACCACGATGACGACCGACGGCAGCTTGGAAAAGGAAGCTTCCATGCCAAAGTCCGCAACCTCTAGAAACCCCTATAAACGCCAATCACATAGCGAGCCCCTCAGCGCGTCAAAGTTCGCCGTTATCCGCACTTCGAGGGTACCAGATTTGCAAGGAACTGCATTTCGCGCGCCAATCGCATAGCATGGGTACACAGAAGCATGGCAGTGCCCAAACCACACTTGTCGCGGCGACGACAATCCGTGGAGTGCAGTGAAGATTGACGGCGAGCCGAAAATGGAAAAGTCCGCCAACACATTCGGCAACCCGCGGAAACCCTTCTCGCGACGTGTGATTATCCCTGAGGACAATGACGGTCGATGGCAGACCGAAAATGGAACCGGCCATGCCACAGTTGCCAAACCTCAGAAACCCCCGTAAAGGCAAATCACAAGGCGAGTCTCGCCGTTGCGCGTCAAAGTCCGCTCTGATCCGAACTTCGCGGGTGACAGGGCCTCGTTCCAGTACCAAGACTTGAGAAAATCTCAAGGGTGGCGCCATTTCACTACGCCGTTGAGATTCAGTAATCAGGAGTGGTAAGGGATTAACGTTCCCTCCATAATAACTTCCCGCTCTGAAATTGAAGTGCAGCTGTAGGGCGCCCAACCAAAACGGGACAGTTTGGAAGTCACCTCACAGCCGTGGCTCGAACACAGAAGGACTCATGCGGGTTTATATTTCTCTGTCTTTCTGTCCCGGGGCCTCATGCGACTACTGACCATGTCCCCGCGAAACCTGGCGGTTGGTTTTGCCCGCGTACGGATTCAGGCGGACATCTCCTTCTCAACCGGCCTTTCAAGTAAGTGCGGCCTCTCTCTTCCCGGCGCACCCTACTGAAGTTCGGATCACGGCGAACTTCGCATTTCGGGTGGTGCGTCGGTGAGTCAAAGGCCGGTCTGCGAGTCATCGAGCTGCGTGATGAATCGACTGCAGTCCAGCTAATTCACGGACCATCATAAGGATCCGTTCTCTATGCACTCGCATTCTAAGTTCGCCCCCATCCGAGCCTCAAAGAAACTCGATGCGTCAATGACCCGGACACACGTGTGCAGGAAGGCTTTTGTCCCGGCACGGTTGTCGCACAACCGCCTTCAAGATGTGCCAAACAGTCATTCGTTGTCGTTGCGAATGGGCGAATGCACTCTTAGGGACCTTCTTGTTGGATCTGGGTCTGTTTCGAGCAAAGTTTCGCACTCCACAAACAAAACTACCCCCCGGATCCCGCAGGTCAACAGTTGTTCAGGCAGTCTTTCGGGATGCTCAATCGCAACTGGGGTTAGTTTTGGGACCTTCTTGTT